TAGGAATTCAGTGTTGCATATATATGCAGATATTCAGAAGCTTTTAAAATGTGCTTCATGGCCAACTGGCTGACTCTGAGAAATGGGTATTTTCTAAAAAAAAAAAAAAATTAAGCATATAGACTTCTTGATGACTTCTTGCAGTATTTGTCGTTCTTTCCTCCTGTATTGTATTTTTAAACTGATGTTTAGAAACTCCTTATTAAGACACACAATTGTGTAATGTCAACTTGTTACACAGCCATAATTATAAAGGATGGTGCTCTGGACAGAGATGAGAGAAATTGCAAATACAGTAAGGAAATAATGTATCACAGTCAAGATTTCCTAATCTAAAAACCTCATCTCTTCAAATTTAGTTTGTATTACGTGTCGGTTCACAGACTTAATTTTATTTATGTGGAGATCTTGATCTAATTCCATATAGTCTTGTGCTTCAGGTCAGACTCTTTTCTTTTTTTTTCTCCTCCCCCACCCCCCTCCCCCTTTATTCGTTTTTGGCTTTACAGTCGTAATGGCCAGAGTAGTGTGTAGAGTTCCATGCTGCTACCATTTGCACTGTCTTTTGTAGGCAGTATCTATAAGAGTCTGGTAATTCTACACAAGTGCTATCATGCTGAAATAGGAAGGATGTGGAGGATGTGAAGCTTGTATTGCCTGGCAAATTCCACGTATCTTCATATATCATAGTTTGCTTTGTGACTATTGCTGACTATGGTAACTGAGAGAAGTTTTGACCTAAGCTTTGTAAAGTATGTGCTTGTTCAACCAGAAGGTACTGAGGAGATAAAAACAGTAGCCTTCCAACATTTTAATGGTAAATAATTATGGAAAATTTAATTATTTTAAATTGAAATGGGTATATGGATATTAATACTTCTTAAAAATATAAGATTAAAGGCATTAGTAAGTTTTCTTTCTTTCTCTCTCTCTCTCTCTCTTTTTTTTTTTTTTTAATAGAAGAATGTGTTATTTGTAATTACTTTGTTCTTGTTGGAGAACCTACAGCTATCAGTTGCCCAGTAATTACATTACCAATGCTTCACTCTGATTACAATCTGACCTGGTATAAAAATGGTAGTAATACACCGATAACCACGGAGAGACATGCCAGGATCCATCAGAGGAAAGGCTTGCTTTGGTTTATTCCTGCAACACTTGAAGATTCTGGACTTTATGAATGTGAAGTAAGGTAAGGAGTGAAACAAATGGATTACTAATGCTTACAGTGTAGTAATATCAGTGGGACTTCAAAGTACAGATGATGATTCTTTTTTTTTTTAGGAAAGTGATCTTAGATTAGTTAAAAGCAATGTCTTGACCACGCTTTTTGGTGTGCTGTCTTTTTTCTTCCAAATGTGTTGAATTTGGCATTGCAGAAGTGTTTCGTACAGGAAACTTTTTATGTTAAAGGACAATAATATTGACCATGGTGTGGATTTTTTTTTTTTTCCTATTTGTTTTCATTGTTTGTCTTGGCAGAAGTGTAAGGTCACTGTAAAAAGTCTTAACTCCTTCAGCTCTTCCTGTGTTCATATGGCTGTTTGATAGAGGCAGATCAGAATAACATTTTAATTTTGTCATTGAACGTGATTAAACGGAAGAAGGAGCTATGAATAGCAAACTCTGTATGTTACAGACTATCAACGCATACAGACTACCTGGATAGCTTTGCAATTCTGGGGAGATCCTTTGGGAAATTTACAAATTGAGAAGCAGAAAACCATCCTTACGTCTTATTATAAAAAATTACAAACGCTATTTGTCAAAAATGAGAATGCATATGAAGAGCAAAGCAGTGTACTAGACATCTTTAAAGATAGTGAGAATATTGTGTCCCCAGCATTGTTAAAAAAGATTTAAGTGCATAGAGAAGAAAGAAAAGAAATAGATTCCTTTCAATTAGCACACTGGAAATTACCGCTTCAGGTGGTCAAATCTTACGGGGGCTGAAATCCACTGTGTGCTGAACAGGAAATTAATGCCAACACATAAATTGGATTTTTTTTGTTCATGGTCTTGCCACATCACACCAAGAACAACAAATGCAAATCTTTTCAGGTGACCCAAATCTTGTCTTACTAGTTTGTTGTTACATGTACTGCTGTGCATACAGCACACCAGTTATGTTGAAGGGATTTAGGATGTCAGTGTAGTAACGCTGATAAAGAAGAACTTTCAGTGTAGGCACAGGTCACAGGCTATTGCAACTTCTTGCTTTAGATTCAGAAATGAATCCAAAATTGAAATAGGGAAGAAGTAAACCATTTCAAAGCTAACTAGATATATGATAAACATAGATTTAATTTAGCCATGCTTGCTTTGTGTTTTCTTGGGCATTTTACCTCCTAAGTTTGGCTTGTGTAATAGCAGCATGCCAAAAAACATATAGTAAAGCTCACTTGTATTAACTGTAGGCTATGTTTTGTGCATCATGCATTTAAGATTTAATCTTAAAACTCATCAAGGTGCAGCATACCAAAGTTGTAGCCAAGTCTGTGAAAATATGTATGTTTCTTCTGAAAACATCTCACTTAGCATGCCATGAAGAAATGAAAAATGAGCAGAAATTAATAATGGCTATTTCTTTATTTCTGTCTCAGATTCCTGTCTTGTAGTACCACATCTTCTGCAGAGCTTTGATACCACAAATTCCTGTCAGTGTTCTGTGAGCTCTCAGTCAGAAGTGGTTTCATGTTGATATTGTACCTTGGTGTACATCGTATTCAAATGCTTTGTCTCTCTTGTGCTGGAAGTTATCCTTTGCCCCTTCAAAGATTATCATCAGTGAGATCAACCCATTTTCTTCTTCTGTTTGCTTTGAGTTCAGCTGAGACTGAAAGTGTTCCAGAGCAGTTATGGTTTGGGTGACCCTGCACTAATGTGTATGGGCAAAGATAGAGCTGAAAACAAAAATGCTAGGTTGCTGCTCGGAGCTCCACAGTTTCAGCTGTGAGAAGTTCTGAATTCTCTTCTGGTGAAACTTCTAGAGCAAATTTCACTTCAGTTCACTACACAGCATAAGAGGTTATTCCCATCTCTCTTGACCTGGAACAGAAAGTGAGGGAGGAACTGAGGGTAATGTCCAAGAGCTGGAGAGACTGTAGCAATAGTGATAGAGGCAAAGCTGGTGAAGACACTTAAGTCCCTTTAAGTCCTAAAATCTCTTCTCTATAAATTTCTTGACTTGCTGGAAACAGAAGCTGTGCTGTTAATGACCTGACTTGTTTGCTCTTCTCATTACAGGAGTCTTAACCGCTCTAAACAAAAAATTATAAATTTAAAAGTCTTTAAGAATGATAATGGTTTGTGTTTTAATGGAGAAATGAAGTATGACCAAATAGTGAAGAGTGCAAATGCTGGAAAGATTATATGTCCTGATCTAGAAAACTTTAAAGATGAAGACAATATTAATCCTGAAATACACTGGTATAAGGTATTGTACATATCTATTTAAGATATAGAAGGAAATATTCTTTTTAGAGTGTGCTATGAAGTAACTGTGAATTGAAGCTTTAGAAAGAAAAAGTTTACAGTTTCAATATGGCATCTATTTTGCCACAGTTAAAAAGAGATACATATTTAAAAAGACAATATATCAACATTTAGGCTGTAAGTTCTATCAGAGTCCCATATGTGTGTTGCTTTTGTTTGTTGATTTGTGAAATTTGCAGTTGATGTAACTAATAAGTTGGTAGGTAAGGTATGGAGGTGATGAGTTTAAAAACTTGTGTTTCTTTAAATACTGGGCTTTGCATAGCTATTTCAGTTTCTCTGAATATTAGGCTACTATCATAGGCCACTATCATAGAATCATAGAATGGCCTAGGTTGAAAAGGACCATAATGATGATCTAGTTTCAACCCCCCCTGTTATGTGCAGGGTCATCAATATATTGATTATGGCATAGTATTCTTATGCCTCTTGCTCTAAATCCAGCAAAATATTCTGTAGACTATGCAGACTCGGAAAGGTGTAGTTTTTTTTCATGTTGAGGTAAATTTCTAGAGCAGTTCAACTCTTAATTTTGATGCTGGCTTTCAAGTATGTATATGGGCCTGTGTATTATATTTGAAATAAAATGAACACGTGCAGCATCAAGGCTTTTTTGAGATGAAGCGATTCTAAAGTGTTTATAGGTCGTGGAAAAGAAAGGCATTTCTCACTGCATTTGCCATTGCCACAGAAGTAACAATACACCCAACATCATGAGTCATTGCTACAAAAGCTCAATTTCATCTCAGTGAAGTAGAAATGTAGGCACGCATTCTCTAAATTCTGCTACAAATGTAATGACTTTTAGTCCATTTGCATGATAAGTCCTCCTAAATCACAGGTATTTTTGATACTTTTAGGAGTGTAAGTCTGGATTTCTTGAAGACAAGCGACTTGTTTTGGCAGAGCGTGAAAATGCCATATTGATCCTCAATGTTACTCTACAAGACAAAGGAAACTACACATGCCGTATGGTATATACATTCATGGGAAAACAATATAATGTTTCACGCACCATGAATCTGGAGGTTAAAGGTAACTACACAGAAGTTTTATTCTCTCTTTTTTTTTTTTTTTTTGTTCTATTTATTTGTAAGTTATTTGTATACAGGCATAAGCAATTTGGCATGACTTTTCAGCTCTGTGGGATTAGGGCTGCAAATTTTCTTTAAATCAGTTTTTCCTTGAATGCAGCAATTAAAGTGCAATAATGCATATTGCTACCCTTGAAACATGGCTTTTGAGAAAGAATTGTCATAGGGAAATGAGAAATCGGGGGTTAGGAATAGAAAGAAACAGTGGTTACTGGGATGGTGGTTTTGTTCTGCAAAAAAAAAAAACACAAAACAAACAAACAAACAAAAAAAACCCCAACCATGTAAACAACCATTAAACCAAAACCAAACGAGTAATTTTTATTGAGATCAGGACAGCAGAACTGACCTGCTGGTCCGTTTGTTTTTGTAGACAGCTTTAATGGTGACATGATCTCTACCATGACAGTCCTTTCAGAAAAGTTGGCTAGAGCTATATTGTCCATCTTCTAAGAGTACTGACTCAATGTAAGGTTAGATAGAGAATACAAGAGCAGTAGCTTGATAACAATGAGTCTCTGTATTATTGCAAAACAATACAATTCTAGCCCAGTTTAAGTGTGTGCTTGTTAACTCTTACTTAAACAAATACTCATCCAACCTAGAAGATTGAGTCATTGTGATAATTCCTCTTTCTCTTCCTTATCTATCTCTCTAACAAAGTTCATTGCATTATTTTTGATCTTGTTTCTGTTATGTGATTTTGTATTACATCTATATAAATTTCCACTGAATTTAAGGCTTAAAAAAAAAAATTGTAAGGTAAACTGAAATATTCTGTCTTGGAAGCTAAAAGAATAATATAGTTGGAGTGTAGCAAATCTCATTAGAGATTTTCTACTGGAAATTTGAAACTGGCAGTAGATATGGTGCTACAATAGAACCACACAATAAAACAAAAACATTGCAAAACTTTCATTTAGAGTAAGTTGTGAAACTTGTATTACCCAGAGATTCTATTTATTTATTTATTTTCTTTCAGAAAGTCCACTGAAAATGAGACCGGAGTTTATTTATCCAAACAACAATACAATTGAAGTGGAACTTGGTAAGTAGTAAATATTTAAGAAATCGTTAAAACTTAGTTAACAGATAAACTCCCTACCTTTCTGAAATAATATATTAATAGTTCAGCTGATTTCTGCAAGACTGGTATGTAGACATGTGCTTTGAGGAGGGTAGATGACTGAATGTGATTTCCTGCAAGTAGTTTGCAGGTAGAATAACAGAGTGCACTTAAGATTGGAGTCTCTTGACCAGCAATGTCAGGTTGGATGTGTCTACATTTGATTATGGCAATCTATCCTTTGTACCACTTCTCACTGCCTCTGTCTTGGCATATCTTCAATATCATTGAAAATATGGTGATGTGTGTGCAACATGTTAGGATATTTACCAGTTGACCATTTTCAGTAGCTTTTCTCATCCTGTATGTTTCCTATCTCTCTACTCTCTCTGGAAAATTGATTTTCCAGATGATTTTCCTCATGCCCATCTAGGGAATTAAAAGATTTTGGATACTGATCTTTTGTGAAGCATTGAAATCTTAGTTCATGGACGTCCCAGATACTGTTAATCTTAGAAATTTCTTAAACAAAAGAGATTCTGACTGGATACAAGGGCTAACTTTTTCTCAATGAAGACAGCCAGGCAGTGGATTTGCCCAGAGAAGCTGTGCATTCTCTGTCCTTGGAGATTTCAAAAAACCTGTTTGGATAAAGCTCTCGAGTAGCCTGGGCTGATTTCATAGCTGCCCCTGCTTTGAACAGGAAACTAGACTAGAAACATACTGAGGTCCTGCCCAACATCAGTTACTCTGTGAGTCAATGAGCTAAGAGTGTAGTAGGCGAGTCTTTTCCTAAGAAGACCTATACATGTTTAGATTGCACCATATATAATAAATGTGTTGTACTGGTCTAGCCAAGAAGAATGAGTTTTGAAACTGTATGAACTGTGAATTTTTTAAAAATCATTTTGTACCAGGTAGAACTGTTTCCAATAAAAATCTTTGATTAAAAAGGGCTTTAACTGATCTTGGAGAAATGTGAGTGGCTGTTGCAATTTCCTAGTGCAGAGAGGTCTAACGTGTCTGGCACTGTTTTGAGGAAGCAATTATAACTGCTAATAAAAATATTAGCAGTTCATTAAAGGAGCCCAGAGGAAAGGTTGTGCTGGGGCTCTAGCACCATGTGGGAACCAAGGCCAGAGAATTATGGATTAATCTTAGATACATCACACTGATGGCAGTCAAACCACTATTAGGGATCTGATCAGCACAGGCCCTTAAAAGGCATTTTAGTTTACTGAATGCACAAAGGATTTTTTTAATCCTTTGATAGTACTGAGAAAATGGAAGATCAAGTAACTGTCATTCCAGGGGCTGCCTGTTATTCTTGGCTTATATTAAGATTCGTTATGGGTCACCTGTGACTTTTTGTTTAGACGACTACGTTTCAGATGAGCATTTGGGTCCAAATTTGGCAAAGCTTGAACATTGTTGATTAAAACTTGCTGTTACATTATTGTTCATCTGAACTGATCTAAGGCATCCAGACCCAGCTTTAATTACTTCATAGACATTGAGAAAGCAGCCATGCATGGGACTAAAGGGAAACACAAGGCCTTCACCCACAAAGTGGGTTTATTGTGGCTGAAGAATTAACACAAAATAAATGTTTCTTGATGACAGGAGACCTTTAAAGGAAGGGGTTTCTTTGGGCAAACTCTATTCTGGAGGGAGATGATTGAAGAGAATCTGTGAATTTTATGTAAACCCTGTTCTAGTAATTACTTTGGAATAAACCTTTAGTTCACATGCATGCTTTTGATAGAGGCTGTCCTTTGATGGAAGCGTCTAGATCTGTGGTTCTAGGAAATGAAACCCTGAGATCATTACGTAACTTCTGTTGGTAAAATAAAGAAGGAAAGGACTCCATGAAAGATGCTTCCGTTCTTTTAAATGGAACTGTTTGAGGTACATTGGCAATATATACATTCTGCAACTTGAACTTGCTTTCTTAATGTTACTGTATGATACTCATATTGTAAGATCTGGATTCTTGATGGCAAAGGAACTTACAGATGGGTGAACTCTGCTCTGAAAGCAGAGTGTGAGTGTAATCAGAAACTGTTCCAGTGGACAGTGTTGGCCAAAAGACTCTGATCTGATGTAGATATGCATGGTCACTAAGAATAGGATGCAGCTCCAGGTCATAGGTACCTACCCATGGGTACCACATACGACTTAAGGACTTCAGCTTGTGCTGTTATTAATAAGGACTTAATTCAGTTGCCTATACATAGATGTCTAGTGCTGTTTTGGATGAACTGACTACTCCAGCTGTGCACGTTTCCTGAAGATCTGGAGTATTATCTACCAGCACTGTAAAGATGCTCTTGAAATGTTATCACACTGTATACAGGCAACTGATTTGAGCCTGAGAGATCTTTGAGTGTAGTCAGAGGAGTCTGGAGAGCCATTCAGATGGAAAGGCTCAGGTATCCATTCCAATAGCAGACTCCAGTGGAGGTGAACTCCTTTACTAGATTAGATATTTAGTTCACATGTAGACATGAACATTCAGATACCTACATTTAGGGTGGAATTCACATCCAGATTGGAGACACTCAACAGTGGAGTAGAAATGGATGAGTTTTATGGACTCTGCTTTTTGTAAGGTAAGTGGGTTTTTCCTTACCCCTCTTTTTCCAGCTGTTCCCTTAACACTTGAATCTGCTTTTGTTACAAGACTTTCAATTGCTGTATTTAATTTTTTGTTTTGCTTTGTAGGCTCTCATGTAGTCATGGAATGCAATGTGTCAAGTGGTGTGTATGGCTTGCTTCCATACTGGCAAGTTAATGATGAAGATGTTGATAGCTTTGACAGCACCTACAGGGAACAGTTTTATGAGTAAGTTCTTATACATTGAACTTAAGTGTATTTCTGTGTGATGCAATTGGTAATAATTTGTGGTAAGTTCGCTGTAAAGTTGACTAGTAGTTAATGGCAGTAGTCATTCAAAGAATGATTAGAAAACTGCATCAGGTACATTATTTCCTTAATGCTTGATTTGAAAAATATAAGCAATTTCTTAAAAACACAAATGGAATGAAGCAACTATATGCAGATCTTTAGAAAGTTGTTATGAAATATATCATTTTGTAAGGCTTATTTATGTATTTATTTTTATACAGCCCTTCTACTAATAGATTACATCTTGTCCTCTATCATTAATGTGAGAATGAAAGATATTTTAAGGCCAAAAAAATAAATCACTCTGTTTATTTTTATTTGTTAAGTTGATCTGTTTTCAAGTACAGATATAGCTGTTGATTTTGAAGTGCACAGAGAAGACCTTGTTGGAGAATATTTAGGGTTATATATTTTTTTTCATTTAAGTAAATTAAGTACAAATTAAACCAGAAAAACATAGTGATTTCTTCCAAAAGAGAAGGATCTTTGTTTCTGAGTGACTAATCTATACTGTAGCAAATTGTGGGTATGCTGTGTGTTTTATCATCACATCAACCACTGCCACTAACCATAATTCTTATAACTAAGTGTAGAGAAGGATGGAGGGGTTTTTTCTACTGTCCATTTCAGAGTCATGCAGAAGCCCTGCTGTCTCCATCATCAGTGCAAAAACTGGATAGTGTCATGTTGAATACTGTTTTTAAAATGTTTTTTTTTATTTGATTCCAGTTTCTGTTGATGCTTCTTTTCTAATTCTTATTTTTTTCCCCCCAAAAAAAGAGAGGGAATGCCTCATGGGATTGCTGTGTCTGGAACAAAATTTAACATTTCAGAAGTGAAATTAAAGGATTATACTTATAAATTTTTCTGCCACTTCTTTTATGATTCTCAAGAATTTACATCATACATCAAATTGGAACACCCAGGTAAGCTGCCCCATCTTGATAAAATTATCGTCACTGATGATTACTTCCCAATTAGTTTGACACCACATTACTTGTAGCTAAAACTGTACCTTTGTGCTAAGCAAGCAGTACAATTCAGTATCTTTCTTTGTGGCATCTTTCTCTCATATTCCTTTTCACAATAAGTTTAAAGAAATATCATTTGGAATGTGCTTTGCTTTCTCTTGTTTGGTGTTTGGGAAAAATCACTGAAATATTTAAATTACATTGAAGCAAATGTGAGTCCTTGGCAGAATACTGTGCTTCATTTTGCACACTGGCACGTGGATCAGAGGAGATAGTGTGTGCAGAAGAGCAGTGAAAATGGCCAATTCTCTTAGAGAACCAAGAGGAGACATAAATAAGAATGGAACTATGCCTTAAAATAAAACAAATACATCTGTGGATCTGGTTGTTCTAACTTTCTCTAACAACGAATGGGCTCAGATTGCCAGGATAAGAAAAAGTTGTTTAGATAATAGGAAAAAATCTTAATGATGATAGTGGAGCTATGAAATAGTTTGTTTGGAAAGATTATGGGGTTACTGATGCATGTGCTTTGTTACCACCTTCTAGACTCATGCATGTTGACTGGGAGCATCCAGCTGTTTGTTGGATAAGTTGTAGTCGGCTCAGAGACAGGATATGATTGATCTGTTGCTGACTAGTCTGAAATCTTTCTTTTTAGTATATAAACCTTATGCTAAAGATTAAATGAGCTTGTAAAACCACAGATTCAACGCTCAAGAATTTTATTCTTTGTAGTTGAGAACAGATGCACAGAAAAGCAAACTACCAGATTTAATAAGCGACCACTTATTTTTTGATTTAGCTATGGAAAATTATCTGGTCTGCTGAGTGGCAAAGCTGACTTGGTCAACTGTGAGCCAATCCTTTGACAGAGGTTATTTTCAAACTGGCAACACTGTAAACAATAGTTGACTGATAATGGATCAGAGCACTAGCTTGCTACAGAAGTATAAACAAATTATTTGCTTACTGTAAACTAAGATTGTCAGGGTAGCAATTAACCTCAGAATTTTTCAAATGTGCATCAACTAGAAATTGTAGTTTGTGGAATTGTTTGTGGGTGTGATTTTTTTTTTCTTCTTGTTTTTTGATCTATTGAAGACGGCAAAGTAGGATGCTCAGTGGTGGATCTTTGGGTGCTCAGTCTGGAGAAAGCAGCATAGTCAGGAAGCCATCTCTGACTTCCTTGCTTTCTGACTGATCAAATTTTGTACTAGAACTCTCACTGTAGTATAACACTGAGATATACATTAATATTTTGGTGTATTGGTTGAGAGAAGCTTCTTCTGTCCCACTCTTAATGTACCTTTTCTCTGAAAGATAAAATCTGACACATCAAATGACAGTATTTGTAAAAAGCATGCATGAAAATATTTCAGTTTTGTCATTCATTGTATTTTCTACTTCTTCAATCCCTTATTGACTAAACAACATTTGAAAAAAAAAAAAAACAGTTTTTAACATTTCTTTTTCTGTTTCTCATCTATAACTCTATTTTCTTTCTTTTTTTTTTTTTTTTTCTCCTTTTATTCCATGTTTTACTGCAGTTCAGAACATTCGGGGTTACTTGATTGGAGGAGGAATTTCTTCGGTATTTTTATTATTTCTTATACTCGTTATCTACAAGATCTTTAAAATCGATATTGTCCTTTGGTATCGGAGCTCCTGCCATCCTTTTCTGGGTAAAAAAGGTATGTTTATGTAGCAGTCCAGGTGTACTTTTAGAGTGCTGTGTGTTGCATGGAGCAGATTGTGTCCGTGGAGTGTGACTGGTAATTTCTCATGATTTTGCTCTCTGTCGTGTCTTAGCATTCAGAATAACATTGAATGGTGTGCTGTCTGTAAGAGCAGTGTGCTGAAATATGGGCCATTTCCAAACACCTGAGAACAACTACATCAGTAGGGAAACAGAAAATACTACTAGATATATTGATGTTCATTGGGACTTCTGTGAAGTCTTTTATGTCTGGTCTTTATGAAGTTGCATTTTCTGACATACTAAATGTGCTTCTGCTCTTGAAATTTGCCCAGTATTTTGTTTTTGCATCTATGTGGTTGTGTTTTGGTTACAAGAATGATCTAATACTTATATGGCTGCTGGAATTCTAAAGCACTCAATTGTCCGATTGCAACAGCTATTTTCTAGATAATTCAGTGGTAATGATTTTTTTTTTTTTTTTAATTTAGGGTTGAATAAGAATACTCAAATATATTTAATTTACAGATCTCTTGCCTGTTTAGATCCAGCATAGTGAATTCTTGAGTCCCATTTCTACAAATGTATCAGGCTCAATATAATTATGCATGCTTAGATAATAGTAAGATTAGAACCCAGAGTAATGTGTCAAGTGGGGGAGGAAACAGAACTTAGCAATATTTTTTTTGTTTATGTCTTTGGAATCCTTTTTTAAAAGTATATTATTCTTATTGCTCATTCTCTAGTTTCAGATGGAAAGATCTATGATGCTTATGTTCTATATCCAAAGAACAGAGAGAGCTGCTTGTACTCATCAGATATTTTTGCTCTGAAGATACTGCCAGAAGTCTTAGAAAGACAGTGTGGATATAACCTCTTTATATTTGGGAGGAATGATTTAGCAGGAGAAGGTGAGCTGTCTGAAAACAAATAATACTGAAGTTTTCTCATAGGTGGCTGAAGTAAGCTGCAAATATAACTCAGGAACAGGGGTCTTTCAACGTCTTTCCGTGGACCATTATCTTCTTTGTCTTCCATTTGCATGTAACAAAAATTTGCATATCAGAACAAGCTATTAATGTGAAAAGGTCATAGCTTTATCTAGGTCTATGGTTTTGGTTGCTCTTTTTATGCAGAACTTCTGAACATCTATTCTCATGTGGTCAGATTGTGTTGTTTTGGCCAAATCTACTCTTGACAGCTAATGCACCTTGCACACACTTATCCTGTCCCTATTTATGATTTAAAGTGTTTTGGCTCAAATATCAAACAGTAAACAAAGCAGTTGGAATGTATGGGCACCATCTTAATAGCTGGAGCTTCTATGAAAAAAGATTGAGGGAACTGGGCTTGTTTAGCTTGGAAAAGAGAAGGCTCCGAGAAGACCTCATTGTGGCCTTCCACTATATGAAGAGAGCAATATGAACAGGAGGGGCAACAGCTGTTTTTACGGATGGATAGTGATAGGACAATGGGGAATGGTTTTAAACTGAGACAGGGGAGGTTTAGGTTAGTTATTAGAAGGTAGCTTTTCACACAGAGGGTAGTGTCACAGTGGGACAGGTTGCCCAAGGAGGTTGTGGATGCCCCATCCCTGGAGGCATTCAAGGCCAGGCTGGATGTGGCTCTGGGCGGCCTGGTCTGGTGGTTGGTGACCCTGCACATAGCAGGGGGGTTGAAACTAGATGGGTTGAAACAGGCCATTCTATGATTCAATTCTATAATTAATTTTGCTCAACTTTTTTTCTCTCTGCAGCTGTGATCAGTATTACTGATGAAAAAATCCATCAAAGTAGAAGAGTAATAATTATCTTAGTACCAGAACCATCATGTTATGGTATTCTAGAAGATGCATCTGAAAAACATCTTGCTGTGTATAATGCTCTTATCCAGGATGGCATAAAAATAATTCTGATTGAACTTGAAAAAATAGAAGATTATGCAAACATGCCAGAATCCATCAAATATGTTAAGCAAAAGTATGGAGCTATCCGATGGAACGGGGACTTCTCAGAAAGGTCACACTCAGCAAGTACAAGGTTCTGGAAAAAAGTGCGTTACCACATGCCCTCCAGAAAACATGGATCTTCATCAGGATTTCATTTGTCACCATAAGACTTGAATTCTTCCCAAGCAACAACAGAAAAATGACAGTGACTGACAAAGTTTATGTAATTGGTGATGGACTGATAGAAGGTCATATTTATCTGTTTTGCACAAACAATCTCACCCAAACTTTCTGGATTGAAGGTACTACAACTTTATCTACAGACGTGAATCATATTTTCTTCTGACCACAACATTAGAATGTCTTGAAGTGTCATCAACAGCACAGTGATGGCATGGAAACCTTTAGGAAGTACTTAAGAACTCTTCCAAGAATTGCACTGTGATTTTCTAAAACATTTTAACATTTTTTTAAACATTAAGAAAACCCCAGAAAAATACTTCCTACAATTAAAGGATGAGTATGAAGGAAACTGTATAAATTAATTGTAATTGTGATGTTATATAATGGACTTGGTTGATGCTGGTAAGTGATTGTTATTTTTGTTGTTTTATGAAATGACATGAATTTTAAAACATGAAGTTTATTTGCTGCTTTGTTCATTTTGCTCAAAGATAATTCCATCATTGTTAGTGCATCTGTGTGCTGTCACCCAAGAGAAAAGGTAAGAGACAATCCCAACTTCCCCAGAATGCTATTCAACTTGACAAAGAGTAAATTCTCTTTCCTGATCTATCTTACATTTAAAGAACTGCATGGTTTTCGGCCCCTTATGCTATTCAGACATCATTAAAATTATCACTGTATTGTTGTTCCTAATCTTAAAATGTTTAATGTCCAGAGGACTTTTATCTTGTTAAGTGCCTTAGTATATTTGTCCTTTATTACCATGTGGAGCTACAAGCTCATGACAGATTCTCTCATGCAGACTAGAGAATTGTTGGCTTTGTCCCTGACATCTCAGGGACCAAAGGTGCTTCAGGGCACAGACTACAAAGCTGGGTTGTCCCCATGTGTTGCTGATGCTGGAAGTGAGCATGTTTCCCCTCCAATTCCCAGCCAGGGCGCTGGCTCCAGCATTTGTCAGCTCTGAAAGCTTAAGCTACCTGAACAGACTAATGTGGCAGAGATGCTTTTCTGTTCTCCCACATCAGTGAGTTTATCATTCCTGGAAGGGTCACTGTGCAGTGGAAAAGGAAAAAGGATAGAGTGGTCATGCTTGGTAGCTCTATGTGCATTTAGAAAATAGAGCTGAAATAACACTGTTGCCCAGAGAGAGAAGGCTGGAGTCCAGTGGTTTTACATTGGAGTCACAGCTTTCAGATGGTTGTTTGGGAATGGAAGTTGTTAAAACTTATTGTGGATGCTGAATGCTTTTTCTTTCCCTCTTTCTTACTTCTGCATTTTTTGGCAACTTTATGTACAACATGGATTTATTAACTTCGAAGCTGAGACTTGTGTGGACGGTGATGCAGTTTTTAATGATAGATTCTCTTGAAGGGGGATTGTTTGTTTTTAGAGAAATCATCAAATCTATTTAGCGTCATGTTTGTAGAAAGAAGATTTACAGGAATAAGAGATGTGAGAGTTAAACTACCTGTGCTTTTCATTTTCTGCTCAAGTTTCCACTTCTAAGTTAGAGATTTAGTTTTGTATGGAAGCTTCAGTGTTTATCTCTTACAAGTGAACTGTGTAGTCTAAGTATAAGCATAGCTGGTCCTTGTGAACAAACTTAGAAAATTTCAGAGTTTGAACTGTATGCTATCTGGAAACTAACCTGTGGTTCAAGTTATCATACACAGGCATTGCTTCATTTTGCTGCTAGTGGCTTTCAACTATTAGTTCCTTTTTAAAAACAAACAAACAAAAATGTTCTGGGAAGATAAGTATTGAACTGTTCTTGTGATTTTTAAAATGTAGGTATAATGACCAATTGCCAGTGTTCTTGAGGAAACAATATGACAGATCTGCTAATGGTGTGTGGGTATGGAAAAGGCACAAAGCTGGTTAATAAACTTAAAGTGAAGTTCTGGCTTATGTAACAGTTGCAAAATAGGTAGGTAGTTATACCTAAGGCAGAGAGATTGAGAGAGAATGGAAAGAATGAAGGAAGCAAAAAAAGCTCTGCAGTTGTGTACACTAACTCCTTTGTGATTGTTTGCTCTAGTGTTAATAATTGTCCTAGTACAGAATTGCAAGAGAAGGCATCTGATCAGACAGTGATGATTGATTTCCAACATGACTTTCAGATCTGACTTTAATTTCTGCTTGTGATTCTGAATTTCTATTTGTGTTCATGTCCTATTAACTTCTGTTTTGCAGAACCTTTTTCTCCCCAACTCAAATTTCAGTAAATCTTATTGCATACTGCAGAACAATCAGCTTACTACTGTGTAAAATTCCTTTGCTTTCCAAGCTGTTCTCAAAGGCTGCTGCTAATATGGTATTAGGCAAAAATTTTCCTTTTAATTCATCCTTTGATATCTCTGATACCACTTTATCTGAAAAACTTATGTTCTGCTTCCCTCAGAATTATTTTGGTCTTTGAATACTGCTTCCTTCGTTTTGACACTGTAGTGTTATTTTTTGTTTGTTTGTTTGTTTTTCTGTCATGGCTCTTTTCTTCCTTCCGTCCTCAATCAAAAGAAACTGAATGATCTGAGGTGCCATCCCTCAGAACTGCCCAGTGGCCATAGGATGGTGTGACCTTTGTGTTGTGCCTCACAGGTGACAAAGCCAATGGAAATAATTTCCTTTCCCACTTTAATTTATTTGATTACCTTGGTATATACTGGAAATTTGATACTCTCTGCCTTCTTAGCTTTGTGAGCTGAGTGTGTATCTGACCAGAATGAAATGAGATTCTATTTCAGGACAAGGGGGGAGGGGGGGGAAGTACATGGGAAATGTCAGGGTATTTCCAACTGTTTTGGTACTGGAATATTTTATCAAATAATGTCATGTATGTATAAACCAATTCACGTGCTTATCTTCTGTTCTCATTCTATGTTTTATTCAAGACAGAATTGTCTTGGGAGAAAAGCTTCTAGTCATGAGGTGTGACATTCACTTAGCTGTTGGACTAGATCTGCTTTTCAATATAGTGTTTGTTTGGTGATAGTCCATTATGGTAAAAGAGCATTGAGATCCATCTCAAGTTACTGAAATTCATCTGGACAAGGTGAATGTGCTAATTGGTATGGTTCACATTGATAAAAGAATTTAGTGGGACAGAAGCTGTATGGTTTGGTCTTTTGTCAGAATATCCCAATATCAAATGTGAAGACTAGACACTGGAAGTATCATATTTTTACTTGGAGGACTAATATTGACTTTGCATTTCCACCTTGACAGTTTGCAAGCCAGCCAACAGAGTTCCACCAACTTCTGGCCTCTTCAGTTTTCTTGTTTATGAAAAACTGCTACTTGTTATGCCTTCCTTTGGTGGAAAGTTATTTTACTGAGCCAAAATACTGTTAATTGTTTGTTCTGATGTATTTGTATGACTGAAGTTTTCATGTGTGTTATGTAAAGACACTTTGAAGAAAGGTTGTTTTTAATTCAATAAAACACTACCTAATTTTTTCTTACAGCGTTGCTTTTTTCTCCTCATTTCTCCACTAAAGCACGCTGAAAAAGAACAATAGCAAACAGCTGTCTTAATTTGAAGTGACTTGGACATACTGCTTTATTTGTATCACATGATCATAGAATCATAGAATGGCCTTGAAAAGGACCACAATGATCATCTAGTTTCAACCCCCTGCTATGTGCAGGGTCGCCAACCACCAGACCAGGCTGCCCAGAGCCACATCCAGCCTGGCCTCGAATGCCTGAGGGATGGGGCATCCACAACCTCCTTTGGCAACCTGTTCCAGTGTGACACCACCCTTTGTGTGAAAAACTTCCTCATAATATCTAACCTAAACCTCCCCTGTCTCAGTTTAACCATTCCCCTCTTCCCTTCCCATTTGCACTGCATTCAATCTGCTATTCTCAGAACTGGGCAATGGGGGGAGAGAGAGAGTCTCAGTAACCACGGGGCTAATCTAGGTTGTCTCAGTACATATTAGCATTAACCACTTCACTCTGTTTGGGTAGCCAGGAGCTGAGAGCTTGGCTTTGCCCTGTCCTGTGCTTTCCTTGCAGGGAATTGAGGCTAGATCAACTCCAAGCCTGCAGCATCACACACTGGGAGCAGCGCAGTGATTTAACATGTTGAATCCTGATTGGAACAGTTAAGTTTCTCATTCTGTTTAGGAATCTCTTATTATTATTATTATTATTTTTTTTTTTTAAACTCAGAAATTTCTAGCATTAACATATTAATTGCTTGCTGAGACTTTTCATTTTCCCTAGTATGCTAGTAGTCCTCTTCCCATGCATAGTCTTCTCAAAGTGGTTTTCATATTGGCTGGGACAGCACACAGTAAAGAAACGTGCGTGTGTGTGATGGAGTTGGTGTTCCCCATAATAGCTGGTGGGAATAAGTACAGGGCTGAGCTCTGCTGCTTGTACCATTCAGCTGTTGGATGTACTACAAGGATCTCATGGCTGCAGAATAATCCTAGCGCACTAATTGCAATGGAGAAGCCTTCAGGCAGCTCCCACAAGTCTCAGGTTACTTGGGAGAGAAACAGTTTTTTGTCATATACCACTCTTCCTCTTAATAGTAGGAATGATGAACAATGCTATCTGTTTTAAGGACACTGGATAAAAGCTGTAAAGTCTTCAGCGCTGGCAGACCTTACCAGTTGGAGATCTGTCTGATGTGGCAGAGCTCAGGGCTTCCAGCATCTGAAGAGATATAAAATTATCTGTGAAATCTCTTACTAACCTTTTCAGATTATCTCCAGTTAACAGCGTTTTAATCAGCAACCTGATTAAGCCAGAATGCCTTTCTTACTGGGATTTATGAATGCTTGCATCAGTGCACTGCAGAGTGCAATAGATACATCCCCAACTCTGTTGGAAATAGTTCACCTGATTTAAGACAGCATTTTATTTTGTTTTGTTAATCAGCTGTGACTCGGATTTTCTCCTTAATCTGTGTTTCTGGATTGCAAGTAGTTATTTTTGTATAAGAAACTAGTGGTGTCACTTCTGTGTATGAGGAGCATAAGCAAACACTGTTATGAGCCAGGCCTCACACGATTCTCTTTCAGCTTTTGTGACATAGGTAAATCACACAGAAAACTGTGTATTGTGCTAAGAGCAGTAATGAAAACATTGATGTGAAAGCAATGGCTGATCCCATGGCAAGATCCCTGTGAAACTACCACCAGACATTGGTTGTTCCCTTTTGTAGCATCTGCTCCCAGGTTTCCATGAGCTTGCTTCCCAGCCAGTCTTGCAGTCAGGTTTTGCAGTGTAACTCAGCTTTTTCTGCTCTACCTTGATAATTGATTTTCAAGATGAAAGTGATAAGGATATCAAAGATAAATAAAAAACAGAATAACCTGATGTGACTGAACACTGTGACAGTCCGTTCCTGTTTTCCAATTATTGGATTCCTATTTTAAACTGTCTAAATCATATATGTTTTCTTGCATCTTACAAATTAATTTTGAATATTTATTTGGTCAGATGTTTTTCTGTTCTCCAATTGTATTGTGTGTACTTTTTTAATGCTGAAAAGCTTGTCTGCTCCTACAACTATTTTAGATGGTCCACAGAAAGATGCTGTTTCTTGAAGCAGATCTTGCTGTCTTTAAAGATTACTATCTGCTGGATCTGTAATTCCATATGTCAGTTACTCTAGAATTTGGCATAGAAATAGTTTTGCCTCCCTGAGTGAAATATGCAGAAAACTTAGCATTTTGCTTTCTTCTTAGTTATCATAATTTCTGGGATTGTGTCTTCATTTCTATTAGCTCTGCTGCCTTCTCCCATAGTTGCCAATACTCTTCTCAAAGCAAGTGGAAAGTTTAAATTGTTTTGGGGGCTAAATGTAATTCTTTTTTTTTTTCATTCTGATTGCATTGAAGACCTATTTAACTGGGCATTTTTGAGCTAAATAACATCTTATTCAATGTTTTAATTTATCTTAAATCTGAGCTCTGCCTTACTTTTGTCATTTCTCATGGTTATGAACTTGAAAATGGGTCTTGTTAGTTTCCTGTCTCAATTCTGAAATATTTTTTGCCAAAAGAGATTCCTCAAGGTGAATTTTAAGCTTCACACATGTGCAGGTAAAGAGAGAGGATGTAGATTTGTTGAAGGGGTGAAAATCAATAAATTGTTTTCTGTGAGAGGGAAGAAAAGGACAATTTTGGCTATAAAAAGAGGCCCTGGCTCCTTTGTTAGAAACTGGATATGTACTTACCAGAAGTACAAATAACTTTCTATGCTCTACTAGTGAATAAATTGTAACTGCAAGATGTTTAATTGCTACACCGTGAGTGCAGAAATATTCCTGCAAAATGGTTGTAAATGCTTTCTTAGTAAGCTGAGTTTGGGTGAACGATATTAAGAAAGCCTGTTTCCTGCAGTTATAATGGTATCTAGGTAACTAATTGCAATGACATTTTGTGATATATTTTCCTGTAGGCTCAACAAGTTTTATGGTATCATATGTGTAAGGATATTCTGAATGTCTTTAGCAAAGGTTAAAGTTGCAGAAAAATATACATAAAGGGCATTACAATTCTGCTAACTTTAGATTTACTCTGCTCAGTGTCTTTTGAGAAAGAGATAGTTGACTATGATTGGCTACAAACTATATAGCTTTGCCCTAAAAACTCTTCTGGGTGCTTTAGAGATATTATGTGACTATAGTCTCTGTTCATGTGGAAGCGATGATTTACCAGCACCAGGTAACATGCAAGTCTATAGAATTCTGTAATTTCCTTTTAAAAAATAGCATTTACATTTGCTTGCCAAGTCCCAAAAGCAAACAAACAAAAAGAAATCTTCCTCCACCCCCCAAAAAACCCCAAAGATCAAGAGTGTCCACCTTGATTTTTGCAGGGTAAATCAGCTGGTGTTCAGAATATGGTGTCCACCCAATGTTATTGCCAGGCAGCTTCCTTCCCACCCATATGTAAGTGAATATTCTCCCTCTAATTTGCAGAATGCAAAAGGACTGAATTATTTATTGCAGGTACTTTCAGTGCTTTTTACAATAGTATCAACTAAATAATGCAGTGCATGCAGCCATCCAATGGGGAAAAGGGGGATTTCACAGAGATATCTTCCTCAGCAAATACATCACTTCAAAAAACTGCAGCACACGGAATGCTACTTCTACGACCAGCATCCTCATTAGGAGAGAAGTAGCCTCCTTTGGCTACCTCTTCCGCCACAGAAAGATAAGCTCTGCCATGATTCTTGCTTTGCTGCAATCCACTTTCAAAGGCAGCACTGATGAGGTATGCTAGAACCCTCCCTGCGCCAATTATAGCAGCTCATTCTACCTTAGAGCTTTGTAAGACAAATTAATAAACAAGAAGTCATTGCAGAGATCTGATCAGGAACACAGTTGCAGAGCTAGCTCTCTGCTTGGCACCAACTTAATTGCTGGAGCTGGAGTTGCTCTTGGTCTGCTTGGAAGTGCTCCTGGTGACTACAACCAGTGTGCATGTCAACCAGTGTCAGATAATGGACTTCTCTGATCTTCCCTGCCATTTTTACCTTTTAACAGCTGTGTTCTATATTCCAGGAACTACATATGCCCAGACTTTGTTGTCTCATGAAACTCAGTCAGTTCAGTTGATAGTCCCCCAGCTCTACAACAATGAAGTTTAGCAGAATTCTGATTCATATCAATCCTTGAAAAGTTGAATGACTGAATATTTCTCATTTTAGCTATTATTCTGATAACTTCAACAACATCTTTTTTACCAAAAACTTCTTTTAGTGGTATTACAATGAAGATACAAGAAAAAGGAATACCTCATACAGGAGAACCTCTAATGTGTATCATAGAATTGTTAAGGTTGGAAAAGACTTATGAGATCATCTTGTCCAACTGTCAGCCCATTCCTACCCTGCCTACTAATCATGTCTCTCAGTGCCACATTCTTGAGCATCTCTAGGGACAGTGATGCTACTACCTCCTTGGGCAGCCTGTGTCAGTGCCTCACTGCTCTTTCTGAGAAGGAAATTTTCCTAACATCCAGCCAACTTGAGTCCATTCCTTCTCATCCTATCACTGTTAAGTGGGAGAAGAAGCCAACCTCCTCTGCACTGCAGCCTCCTTCCAGGTCATTTTAGAGAGTCTCCCCTGAGTCCTCTTTTCTTCAGACTGAATGATCTCAGTTCCCTCAGCCACTCTCTGTAAGACTTGTGCTCCAGATCCCTCACAGCTCCACTGTCCTTCTCTGGACGTGCTCCAGGGCCTTGATGTCTTATAGTGAGGGGCCCAGAACTGAACACAGCACTTGAAATGCAACCTCACCAGTACAGGGGGATGATCACATCCTTGCTCCAGCTGAATGCACTATTTCTGATACAAACCACAACACCATAGCCCTTCTGGGCCACCTGGGCACACTACTGACTCATGTTTAGCTGGCTGTCACCCAAGTCCTTTTCCTCCATACAACCTTTCAGCCACTGTGCCCTATGCCTGCAGTGTTGCCTAGGGTTGCTGGGACCAAAGAGAAGGACCTGGCTCTTGATCTTGCTGAACCTCATACGGTTGGCCTCAGCCCATGTATGTCACAGCATGCCTCCATCTATCACCACATCCCTTGCTTTGGTGGAGGACAACATGTGTAGGCATAGCAGGGCGTAAACTCTTATCTGTGGTTATCATGCGGTGAGCAGGCTGGCAGATTAGATTATGTTTCTATTTGGTAAATGCAACTTAGAAATAGTACCTGAAAAAGCACAGAGGGAGGAGTAGGAGAGGATTATTCTCCACGGAGAACTTTGTAGCTGGCGTAGCAAACGTGCTTACACAGTACTTTTAGCAGGGATGAGAACCTGTCTTAGTAGTTCCACCGAGCCCAGATTTTTGCTTGCTTTGGGAGGAACCTTTGCTTTGACTTGCTGTGCGTTTTTGGGTCAGTCAGTCAGTGACAACACAGCATTAGAATGCCCCTGTGTGATTTGGTTCACACTTCTTATTCCAGCAGCGGTACGTGAGTGAAGCAGAGAACTGAGGAACACTGGTGCTGTGCTCCCAGGGCAGCAACAAGCTCAGTAAGCTATAAATAAATAAATAAATAAATAAACAAATGGGAAAAAAAAAAAAATCACAAGCAAAACAACGAGTGACAGCCTGTTGCGATCGCAGCTGAGGCAATCACACGCCAGGCGGGGAGGGGAGGGAAACTCAGAGCTGACGCAGGGCTGCCTCACCAGCACAGCCAGTGTGCGGGAGGCTTCTCCGGCTATTGCTGCCACGACACGGGGCCTCTCCGCCTCTATTAGCTCCGTACGGCCGGGCCGGGAGCCCAGCGGAAGGTAGGCAGCCGTGGGGCTTCCCCTAGCAAGGCCAGCCCGAGGCTGAAGGGCTTTTTCGTGGTGGGAGTTCGTCACCGCGCTGGGTGGGAGGAAGGCTGCCATCCCGAGCTGGGTTGTTTTGGATCCACGTGTGGTAATGGGGTGTCGGTGGTTCATGGACGGCTAAAAATAGATGGGGGAGAGAACCCTCAGTTCTGTAACTGGCTCCGTGTAGGTGTGCTGACACAGCTCTTGTGTGTGTGTCTGTAACAGCGGGGAAGGAACGCAGGGGTTTGTCACAACCATTTTTCCTGTATCAGAGGGGAGAGGCTTGATAAGCTCTCGTGAAGACTCATAGCATGCCTTGCAGTCAAGAGAAGCGGTTAAGGTACACGTATTGAATGATTTATATAAAAGAAATGTCTGTTAGTTCTCTACTCTGCCCTGATGAGGCCTCACCTGGAGGCACTGTATTCAGTTCTGGGCTCTCTGGTACAAAAAAGACATGGATCTCCTGGAGACACTCCAGCAGAGCACCATAAAAATGATACAGGGCTTGGAGCATCTCCCAAATGAGAAAAGGCTGAATGGCCTGGGTCTGTTCAGCCTTGAGAAAAGAAAACTCAGAGGGGGTCTGATCAATGTCTATAAATATCTAAGGTGAGGGAGGCAAAGGGACATAGCCAACCTCTTTTCAGTGGTGTGTGGCAATAGGAAAAGGGGAAATGGCCACGAACTGAAGCATTGGAAGTTCCACACAAATGTGTGTAAGAACTTCTTCATGGTAAAGGTGACAGAGCACTGGAACAGGCTGCCCAGGGGAGTTGTGGACTGTTGCACATTTTAATCCATCCATGTGTTTGAATAAGGCGGTCAAAGTAACTTAAGTGTGCAGCAATTCCTGTGAGCCAAAGTTCTGATGAAAGTAGGTGTCTTGCTTCTTTTATTTTTTTTTTTTTCCTTTCTTTTTTTAATTGAGCAGATCAACTTTGAAAGGACTAAATAGCAGAGGAACAGGTGGCTGTACTGACAGTCTCAGATTTTTATGAAAATTTTGCTTTACGTGTGCTGTCATGGATGCTGTCATTGTAATTCAGTTGCATATATCAACAGAGACCTTTCCTTCTCTTTCTTTCCTTCTCTTTCTTTCCTTCTCTTTCTTTCCTTCTCTTTCTTTCCCTTTCTTTCTTTCCCTCTCTTCACTTCAATTGATGAGATTATTTTCTTCCAGGCTGAAACTCTGTGGGCATGGCCTCGGATACAAGGAGTTTTTTCTCCTCTGGAAAATTTGGGCAAAGGTAGCACCAACTGGTTGCTATCCTGAGTGGTAAAGCTCTACAGGTCAATTGCAAGAAGAAATTTCTCTCTTTGTCATGGCAGAATGTGGTAGGTAAAACATTTGCACCTGACTCTGCAGTCATATTTTATTATTTTCATCATGAGTTATGCAAAGAGATGTACAGAACAGAGCCTACTTTTCTTGTCATTTGTAACTTCCATATATGTGATTTTTTTTTCTTTATGAAAAGTCACATACAAATATGGGTCTCCTCAGAGGAGTTCATGTGACTGGTACATAGTGCTATGTATTTGCAGCAATTCTATGTTGGCAACAAGATAAGTTAAAAATTGATCTGTTTAGAAAGAAACAGAACTCATAGAGAAGTAGGATTCTGAAAAACAGTTCTTCTGAACATGGAAAAATATTACTTTTGGATAGTTTCCATATTCACTCCTAGGGGCAAAAAACTGCTTGGGAAAGAATTTGAGAAAGAACGATAAAGTAAGGTAACACAGTGATAAACAAAATTTTTGAAGAGTTGATCATGAAAAAGTTATAAATACAATACCTGGTCATTACTGAAATCCATTCAGTCCTATTTTCTCTTTAAACTGTTTCTATTAAAGTATTGTCATCTTCTTTAAAATTTAAGTGTAGAAAATTTAAGAACTGCTGTCTGTCCATTACAATTTGTGAAGAAAGTTGAAGCTTTTGTACAAACACACGCAAACTCCCTGTAGTGATTTGGAGCCTAGTGTGTTTCTTGTTTTGTTCAGCATTCTTTTGTGGGAAGACACCCCTCCTTATGAGCTAAGCAAGAAATGACGTGCCTGGTAATTAGAGCAGAAATTTGCAATGAGGAGGTAGGGAAAAGAAGGGGAAGGAGGAAAGCAGGCACTGCAAGAAGCAGTGAGTATGACTCAATGTGTGGCATGCTCTTGAGTCAGTTTGGTGAAGAAAGACACAGCAGCTGGAAGTGTCATCTTTAGCTGGTGATAGGCTAAAGTTTTTTAACAGGACGGGATTATCCGGATTGTTCTTCAATTTGAATGACTGCATTTCTGCTTTTATAGTTGTGTAAAAAAATAGGTATCTGCAGCAGGTAGCTGTGTGGAAACTTGTGAAAATGGAACTAGCAAAAGTGTTGTTAAATTACTAAGAAGTAGTATAGAATACATCATAGATTCACTTTATTGATCTGTACTGCGCAAATATTTTAAAGACTGGATGCCATTTCTGGTCTCCCTTCCTCCTCTCAGACAAGCTGTGGTGTTCTTGGAGAACTGGAAATAGTTGAGGTGGGGAGGGAGTTCTGGAGATCACCTCATCCACCCTCTGCTTCAGCCAGGCCATCCACATTAGGGTGCCCAAGCCCACGTCCAGGTGGCTTCTGGAGATCTCCAGGGAGATACAGGAGAGAGTGATAAAGATGATTGGAAGTGTGAAATCAGGTCCTATCTAAGGGTCAGTTAAAGAGACTGAGATGAGTCCAGGGAAACAAGAACTGGGGATGAGTGTACTGGAGACGTACAAAATCCCAAGTGTGTGACATGCGCAATAGGAGATGTTCACTCGTTTTTTTTTCTTCATTCTTCTAGTACAGTAAATGGGAGCTGTTAGTGAGATGAGCAGGTACATACTCAAAATAAGCAAAGGCTATTCCTGTGTTTTCTGTGTCAGTATATGAACTTCAGGCTCTTTGCCAAAGGATGTTTCTGAGTTCAGAGGGTGTTGTACTACATTCTTGGGAAAGAATCTACTGAGGGCTACCAGCTATTGAGAAACTAATTGTAATGTCATACACTGATGAAGTGAGGGAGACTGAGAGGAATGTCTGTATATTCTCATTCTTTTGCAGTTTCAATTGCACTGCAAATTCAATTGCATGCTATTGACCACAACTTGAGACAGAATGCTGCTTTAAGAGGGAGCACTGATCTTGTTGGCACAGATGTTCTTAAATATTCTTCCCTTTTATGTTCAGTCAGAAGTTAGCTTTCCAGTTCTAAGAAAATACATGTTTTGTAGTGGGATGGCTCTGTAAGTGCTTTTTAATCCTGGAGGTGGCAGTGTTTTTCCCATAAGGCAGATAGTTCCTTTTGCTGTGTTACAGCCATGTAACTCATGTTGAAAACCTAGTATAAGAAAAGTACAGTTTATAAAAGACACGAATTGGTAGTAGAAACTGTAATGCACATGTTGATTTTCAGCTGTAGAAGTTTTTCTTGGAAACCACTAATTTAAGGATTTCTTTCCTTTTCTGTAGGGAAACATGTCAGCAAAGATACTTTCCTGTAAGATCACAGCAGCATTTCTGTCTTTAATTATTGCAGGTGAGTTAATTGGTGACTGTCTTATTCTGAAATTTAATTTTTCACACAAATAATACTGTTCTTTTTTTTTTTTTTTTTTTTTTTTTTTTTTCTTGTACAAATGGTTGTGAAAATCAGATTTATGTGCGTGTCAGTGAGGTATTTTTTTAAACAATTCTGAAAACAGAAGCCTATAAAACATATGAAATGTGACATTTCATGTAGCGACTACACCACTTAAGTTGGAAGACACCTCTTGAGAACATTTAATTCAACCAACTTGCTCAAGGAACAGTGACCCACAACAGCCTGTCCCAGGCCATGAACATCTCCACAGTATTTGATCAACCTCTCCATTAAAAAAAAAGGAAAAAAAAAAAGGAAAAAAATATGTTTTTTTTGTGTTCAGATGGAATCTCACAATGTAAGCCCCTTGTATCTTGACCTGTCAGGGGGCACTGTTGTGAAGGATCTGGCTCCCTCTTCTTCATTCTCTTTCATCAGAGGTATACATTTGCACATTGATAAGATCTGCCCCACTACTGATCGTCTTTTCCAGGCTGAACAGTTCCAGCTCTCTCATTCTGTTTTTGTCTGAGAGAGTTCCACTCTCCTAATAATCTTGGTGGCTCTGAGATGGATTCACTCCGATAATCTGGAGTGAATGTCTCTCTTATGCTAGGAAGTCCCATTCCAGATTTGTCTCATCGCTGCTGAATAAAGGAAGATTCATCTCCCTCATCCTATGGATGATGCTCTTCCTAATGCAGCTCAGGACACCTTTAAGCCATCTTTTTTGTGATGGAGTGTTGCTGGCTTATGATCAGCATGTTGTCCACCAGGACCCCGAAATCCTTCTCTCAGAGCTGCTTTTGTGGGTATCCTCCAGTATGTGCTGGTGCCTGGGGGATTTCTCCCCATATGCAAGATTTCACATTTCCCTGTGTTGAACTTCCACGAGGTTTCTGTTACCCCATTTCTGCAGCCTGTTGAGATTCCTCTGAATGGCAATGTGACCTTCTGGTGTATGAACTGATTAAAGGAATTATAGTTCTAATTTTCTTAGAATCATAGAATCGTAGAATGGTTTGGGTTGGAAGGGACCTTTAAGATAATCTAGTTTCAACCCCCTGCTATAGGCAAGGACACCTCCCTATAGACCAGGCTTAAAGCCCCATCCAGCCTGGCCTTGAATAGATCCAGGGAGGGGGCATCCACAACCTCACTGGAAAACCTGTTTCACTGTCTCACCACCCTCACAATAAAGAATTCCTTCCTAATATCTAGTTTAAATCTACTCTCTTCCAATTTAAAACCATTTCCATTCATCCTGTTGCTACATGTCATTCTAAAAAGTCCCTCCCAAGCTTTCCTGACAGCCCCCTTCAGGTACTGATAGAAGTACTTGTAGAGAATGGTACTTTGATATGTATGAACACTCTCTGGAAGCATTAGCTCTATCTTCACTGATGGTGAAAAGAAAAAGAAAATCAGAATTCTTGGGAAAGAGTAGAAAGTGAAGTTTTTTTATGCTACAGGATAACACCATAGTTAATGTGCAGCAATCAGACTACAATTATGATTATTCCATCTCAGAAAGGTTATGTTAGAAAAGGTAAAGAGATGAGTGATGATAGTCTTTGAAATGGATGGCCTCTGTATGAGATGTCATTAAATAAATGGGGAGTCTGAGATAAAGAAAAGATGTGATATCTGATAGAGGTCTGCAAAATAACGAATAGTATAGAGAAGGCAAATAAGGAAATGTTTACGTTGCCATTTCTCATAAGAAGAAATGCATTATCCCCAGTGAAATGTTAGAAGGCAAGAGTTTTGGGCTGCACAAAAACTTCGATGGCCATGTGTGGTTGTTCTTCTATTGTAATGAAATGAGAGTACTGACTCTGGAATGTGGCCAGTATATCCAGAATTTGTGCCTATTTTCATTGTACTGACAAAATCTCTCAGTGTTGCTTTTTCCCATGTGAATCTTCCTGGATTCAGGGAAAGAAAATGAGTTCATCACTAAGTATTTTAATAATTTCTCATGAAGTAAGGGGTGAATTGAAATTTTCTTTGCAAGTTTAATATTTGTGCAACTAGAACTTTAACTTTCTGTGTCCCCTTAGGATATCCGAGTATTGCAGGATTTACTTTGACTATAGATAAGTGAATGTAATAAATAGACACTGAATATGAAATTTGTGCATCCACGTGTGTGTGTGCTTGGAACAACCTGGAGAAATACAAGTACTCTAATCATTTGAGTCTGAAATAAAGCAGACAAATGATAGCAAAATGATTTGCTACTGCAAACAAAGAGATCCTGTTGAGTGTAAAGTTTTTATTCAGAAAAAGGCATTTCATTTCAATGGCATAACTATATCAGTATATTATTCAATAATGCTTTGAACTCCAAAGATACTAAGTTGAGACAGCATTGTTAGATGACTTAAGAATGAAGGTGGAAACTCAATAAACTTTGTAAGTATCATCAAGAAGCAAGTTCAGAGTTTTGTTTCACATTGTTTGAGATTTTTTTTTTAATGTTTATCTCTTTCCTTTAGAGAAATGTGGAGCCTATGATGTGATGTTCAAGCATAGTCTTGTGCCTCATGGGCAGCCTCTTGTTATTAAATGTTCACTGGAAAAGAGCTTCAATTTTGAAAGTGGAGACTGCAACTTAACATGGTATAAAGTTGGTAACCAAACTGCAGTGCCTAGAGACAAACTTTCTAGAATTCATCAGCAGAAGAGTTTAATTTGGTTTCTCCCTGCAATATTAGAAGATTCTGGAAATTATGAATGTGTCATAAGGTGAAGGTTAAAAAAATTACATTGCTATAGAAATGTGTTGCAAAGAGAATAACTTTTAGAAAGAAAGTAGGATTTGGGGGGCAAGAGAAATGCTGTTTGAGAGAGTATGTTCACTAAAACTAACTTTATGTTGGGAAGTGGAAGTCTTTTTTTTTTTTTTTTTTTTTTTTTTTTTTTCCTTCTCTAGTTGGTAAAACTTGTAAGAGGATTTGTAAAGTTCTGGTCCTCTCTTTCTTCTCCAAAAAGAATACTATGTATTTTTGAGCTGAAAAATATGTCAAGTATCTAAATGTAATTGTGTTATATTAGTTGCAGGAATTTGACAAGCTGCAGCAAAATGTCTACAGAAGTAACAGTTTTTGAGAGGACTGATGGCTTATGCTTAAATGAAAAATTTGCTGTAGAGGAGGTGGTATTCACTTCATCATCTGCAAAGGTTGTATGTCCACACTTGGACCACTTCAGGAATGAGGAAAATATTCTACCTATTCATTGGTATAAGGTAAAAAAAGCCCGTTTTATCATAGAATCATAGAATGTCCTGGATTGAAAAGGACTTCAATGATCATCTAGTTTCAACCCCCCTGCTATGTGCAGGGTCGCCAACCACCAGACCAGGCTGCCCAGAGCCACATCCAGCCTGGCCTTGAATGCCTCCAGGGATGGGCATCCACAGCCTCCTTGGGCAGCCTGTTCCAGTGTTTGGAACTGTCACAATGGTCAGTTATTTAAAATACAAGTAACTGATGTTTATGAATTGTAGTAGAAAAATTACAGATTTATTATAAATGTAAAAAAAAAACCAAAAAAACAAAAAACAAACAAAAAAACTTTAAAAAATATTGGAGGAGGGAATTAAGGCATTTCACCTTGTAAAGGTGTATACAGCTTTTTTGAGTAACAAAAAAAGAGTAGAAATTCAGTTTACATGTAGGAAATGTTGACCCGTATATCCACTAGATGGCACTTTTATACATGCTAGCAAAACATCCATTTCTTTTGTTTGGAAACAGATTTAGTATGTAATTTGTGAGATACAGCATATCCACTGTGCATTCAGTATTGCTCCATCAAATAAATGTTATTTTGTGTGGTTCGTAAGTATTTAAAGTCTTGTTCTGTTAAGAATGTATTGCTGCCTTTGGCATTTTTGCCTTGTGCTTGTGCAGTCCGTAAGGTACTGTATTTAAGTACTTGAAAAAGTGAAGTCTAATTATTCAGTAATTCTTCATTAATTAATACTTCTACAAATCCTGCCCCATGCATCACGCTTCCTTATTTCTCTCCTTATTATTGTAAGGTTTTTTTTTTTTTTTTTTTTTTCTTTTTTCTGTAGGAAATGAATTGGTATATCTTTGAATTAAAAACTCAAGAGCCAAAACAAAGAGTGTTTTCCTTTTGATTCCAGCTTTCTTCCTCACACTCCACAAGGAAACGCATCTCTATGTTGTGGTCCGCTGAAAATTTGATGTGTTAAAGAGAGACAAATCATTGAAAGAGATAGTGACATGAATTAATGGAGTTGTTTTGTATGTTTAGGACTGTCAGCTACTGGAAGGGAAAAGATTTGCCTTTTTAAACAGTGACCTTATGATTTTCAATGTGACTATGCAAGATCAAGGAAACTATACATGCAAAACAACATATACCTATAATGGAAAGCAATATGACATTGCACGAGACATAAGTCTGATTGTAGAAGGTAAGTAGATAAATTCACTGTTTATAATAGTGACTCTCCAAAATTTTGTCCAGGTTTCTAATTGCAGCTGAAAACTCAATTTGTGTATAGGTAAGCTATAGGCTATTACTTTGCATCTAAGGAGGAAAGAAATGCTTGCTGAAGTTTTTCTGTTGTTGTCACTGTGTTGGTGATTGAACAGTGGGATCAGAATTGCAGTACATCAATGCTTTGGTTAATAGGCCAGCTGCTGAGATCCCTAAATGAGTCCTGTTACACATGCTCTATTCTGCCCATCTTACTTCTCTCTCTTTTACATCATCCCCTTACCACAAGAACAACCAGTTAAACCAAGACAAACTGTAGTGGTATCTTGGTTTAATGTGTTCTACTTCCTTCATTTTTTGTATAGTTTTTTACATTCCCATCAAAACACATTTTCAGGTCTACTCATCTATTGCATTCCCATCTAATGTTCTGGTTTTTGTGTGTGCATGTTTTCTCTATATGTATATGTATGTGTATATATATGTATATATATAATATGTGATATGAATGTCATATTTATATGATGTGAATAAACAAAATATGAAGAATATATAGCCAGAAATGACCGGCTTATGGCTGGCTGTTTTTAAAACCTGGCCTTTAGACTTCTCCCTCAGTGTAGTTTCAGCTTCAGCAACTCACTAAAGCAGTCATATAACTCAAACATATAATTTTGCTGTTAATGGCTGAAATCAGCTCAGTTGCTCAAAGACTTCAGCTGAGTTTGCACTAAAATGGGTGATTTGGAGTCCAACCAATAACACAGACACAGTAATAAGAGGAGGAAGGGAGGAATGTATCTGTGGCAGGGAAGGATGTATCTGCAACAAACTGTGTTTCACATCAGGATGCTTTATGACTTCCTTGTTGATGTGTGCTCATAGAGAAATTTCCTTGAACTTTCAATATATGATAAGAAATATTCCAGAATGTTCTATAGATATCTGACAGAGCTTCTACTCAGAAGTAACAAGACTATCTTCAAAACTCTTGATTTGAGTACTGAATAATGTCTATAGTAAAATTGCTGACAACCCTGTCTGTAGGGCATGATGTGTTTAGGTTGCCCTTGGATTATGCAGCATTAACAGGCTGCAATCACTTCTGCTTTTCTGAAAATAACTTTCCTTCTTTTGGTTAGTGAGCCCACCAAAAATGCCCCCAGAAATTTCTTATCCGCAAAACAACTCAATTGAAGTGGAACTTGGTAAGTACTTTTCACTATAAGAAAATATTATTTTGTGTCCTAGTGAAAATTCTTGTCCAAGGAGAGTGCCACATTGTGTGTTTGTTTTCTTTGGGCTAAAACTATTTCAGTGACCAGCTCAGTTTCTCCTTCACATTACTTTCTCGATGGAAAATTGTTTTGTGGTGGGAAGGAAAGAGGCAAGGGGTATTCCTTCCAAAGATGCAAAGAAACTACAGTGACACTGTAGAGGGAGAGGGAGGTGCTGTGTCCCTGATTTGGCTTCTGTAATATCAGTCTCTTTGAACATGCACCTTACTGAATGGATAGACACTCTTTTAGAGGAACTTTTCTGAAAGGCTGCGGAACCAGCCTGTGGTCTGAGTGGGGTTCTATAAACAGAATTGCATAGCTTTTAAGTAGAACATAAAAATTAACTTTTCACTTTGTAACACAATTTTATAGGCTCACAGGTCACAGTGGATTGCAATACAACAGGTGCTGATGGGTTTGAGGTGTTTTGGACAGGCAACGGTGTGTATATTGATGTGTTTTATGTGAGCAGAATTTTTGCAAAGCCCAATAAGTAAGTATATTTTCAGATTAGAAAATACTGGCTTGGCAACAACCAAAGTGGAACTTTCTCCCTCTGACTCATGTCAATGCTTGCCTTTACAAATTCATTTTCTTTCTGAAGTAGAAACTGCTTGCCTTTAAGAATTCATTTTCTTTCTGGAGTAGAAACTTGAAATAGTAAATGCATGGATGCGTGAAATTGGGCTCCTTAGAGTCATTATTAAAATCTGTCTAAATTTCCAGCCATGGAAAAAGGTGTTCTGTAGAGGCTTATAGTCTCATAACTATACTGTTTCTACTGAGCAAGCTCTGGACTGGCAGAGACTTCTTTCAAGTGAGACAGAACATGAGAGGTTCAGACTGTCTCCTGTGTCTCCTTTTCCTTCCCATCTGCCTGTCTGGGAGGCTGTAAGAGGTTCTCTTTGCAGGAAAACTTTAGACTTCTAGTTTTAAGAGCCTTGAGATAGGGAAGTGTAACTGAGATTAGAGAGCTAATAGAAGACTTTGTTGAGGACATTTGTACTGAAGCTTAGTGGATTGAGAGAAGAAAAGGAAGAGATATTTCCAGTGACGGGTTGGGGTTTAGGAAGAAGACTTGGAGGACATGAACTGCACAAAGCAACTGGGAGATAATGTGAGGATGAAAGATAGTTTAAGCAGAGCCGGGAGGGAAAGAAATTAGACTTGACTTGGAAAAGACAATTACAATTGCAGCAGAAGGCAATCTGAAACTGTATCTTCGATATCATAGGTTGGGAACCAAAGAACTGAAAACTATAGGGTTTTTGTCAGCCCTTGTCTCCTGGTGATACTATGAAGGAAAAATGTGAGCACTTTTATAAGTTATCAAGCAGCATCTTTGAGGGAGAAAGTGATGAAGAAATGTGAATGGTATCTTCAATGTAAGATCATGGTTCTTAGAAATAAGTAAGTCGTCATCATAAAACAAAAGGGGAAATAAAATGCTGAATTCTATACAAAAGTCATATATTGTAATGTTATAAACAATTGGGCTATAATGCAGAGGCATGCAGTCACTAACAGTATCATAAAAACTATGTTATTTTTTTATATTTCCTAGCACTTAAATTATTGTCTTACTATATTTGCAGCCATAATATTTTCTAGGTCTAGTCATTTGTATTAATGATATTGATTCATTTACTCTTTATTCTAGTGTTTAAACTACTATGACCTAGAATCTTAGAATCATAGAATCACAAGGTTGGACAGGATGTACAAGATCATCTAGTCCAATCATCCTCCCATTACCTTTGCTACCACAAGCCACTAAATCATATCTTGTAGTTCCTTGTGACACAACAGGTCACATGGGACCTGTTGCTCACATGTTGTTTTTGTGTGCTCTTTATGATTTATTTCAAACTTTTACTTTGCATTATTAATGGTAGTTAGAGTACATTTTCGGAGAAGAAAAGCATTTGGCTAAGTAGACTAGTTAGTTAATTTTACATATGAGCTGTACTGTTAATGAGGTAGTAACATCCCTCGTTTGGTGCTGATTAAAAAGTTGTATATTTTGCACATCAGACATGAGACACAGTGCAGATTACTCAGTGAATGTGCAGCAAAATTAGCGTTTTTTGTTCCTCTGTAAGATGTACAATGAATAACATGTATCTTAAAAGTGCAGCCTGATACTGTATCTGTTCCAAATCTGTTCTGATCCATGATATGAAGCAACAGTTTAGACTCCATTCCCTCCAGCTAGAATTGCACCAAGAGTTGGTGTTACATGCTTCAGTTGACACCTTCAGTGTCTTTGCTGTCCCAAAGATCTGCACTGTAAGATGACATCCCTGTACTGGGGCTTCTTTTTTTAGGCATTTCAGATTGTAGAACTTCTCTTCCACCAAGCACTGGGATGCTCCATCTACTTTTACAGATGCTGAGAACCCCCTCCAACATGGGTTTGCATATGTTTGTAAGATACATTTTTTTGTACTGTAGCTAGAGATGTTATATTCCACTAGGAAACAGCTCTTGATAGGATTTGCTGATGATATTTTCTGATGTCTACACTAAATGTCAGGAAGAGGCCCAGCTATTGTTTGGGTTTCCCTCACATAATGCAATTATTCATCTGTTCTGAAGTGTGATTGGTGTTTGCAGATGGAAATGACCATTGTCATATTGCTGTTTCATCACCTGTTAGTGATGAAGCCTTTATAAAAAGGAGTGGTTTTATGGCTCTGTTTGTCACTTTTTGGATAGTGAGGAAACTGCTTATGATGGACGCCCTATGTATTCTGTGAAGCTGATAATTTCAGAAGTGTATAGTGAAGATTATGAACAACCATTCATCTGTCAAGCTTCAAATGCCTTTGGACAGGTTGCATCCTATATTATATTAAAACACAGAGGTAAGGAATACTGCTGTTTTATCTGGCTTGTGGTTGACTTTGCTTTTGTAAAAGTATTGTGTTCTTGGTTCCAAATGCTTGTGTATCACATCAATAGAAGATGCATGAATTACACTTTCCTGCATTTAAGCAGGTAGATGTGTGGAGGGGAAGAGTCACTGTAGTAGTGCATTTATCTATTAAAATAATAGTGAGATGGAAGTGAAAAATGTGATACTCAAATGCATATTACATTTGTGTGAAAGATCAGATTTGAACAAACCCAACATTTTCCTTCTACTCTTACCATATTTTGTGCAGTTCCCGATGTACAAAGATGGCTGACTGGAGTGTTTGTCTCTTTCTTACTGTTAATGTTTATTATTCTGATCGTCTATAAGATTTTCAAGATAGACTTGGTGCTTTGGTATCGTAATTCTGGATGTGCCTTTGTAAGTAAGGAAGGTATGTGCACTTGATCAATGTATGTCAGTGTAACTAGCCTATTGCTTTTTATTTTTCTTTTCCATTTGCTATTACTCCCAAAGGGTTATATGATTGTTTAATAGAATGCATTTGGAATTTCTTTGAGAATTTTCAGATATGTATGGAAAGATCTTTTCATTCACATAGGTGAAATATGTAATCCTAATTGAGGTAATAAAGACTGCATAATATTTAAGGCAGTTAAGGTGAGACAGGTCAGAAAGAACCCCCTATTTCTTCCAAAGAAAGTTGTTTCTTTGCGTGTGGATTTATGACCACACTGATGGTGGTCAATAGGTGTCAGCAGAGCCACATCCTGTAGACTAGCTGTAGAAAAATGCACATTAGATATTTATATTGAAAATGAAACTTTCATTTGCCAAGGTGTTTTTTTTCTCTTCCAAATTTTCTCTTTTACACATATCTTTACTTATAAATCCAGCAACTTATGATGGTTACATTCTACTAGTTTTCTATTCTGTGATACTTCTAATATATTTCTACTACCACAGTGTAGACAGATACATTGGTTAGATGTGAATAATGGAAATAAGTGCGACATAATATGTATTGTGCTTGGGCAGCCCTCAGAATTAGACTGTCTCATTCCCAAGAGCTCAAAAGTAAATGGATTACGTGCATTAAGATAGTTAACATTTATTCATGGCTGTTCGAAATATTTTCACATGAAAGTCATTTCAACTTTTAACAAAAGACAAGTTTTCCTAGAAAACTTACTCTATTTTTCTAATGAAAAGTAGATCAAAGAAACAATGTTTTATAGTTTGTCCCAAACTTAACTTACTAAGTTTGGCTCTGGGCAGCCTGGTCTAGTGGTTGGTGACCCTGCCAACAGCAGGTGGGTTGAAACTAGATAGTCTTTGAGGTCCTTTTCAACCCAGGCCATTCTGTGACTATGAATGTGTTGGTTCCTCTGAGTCTGGGGGCTCCTTTCTGCAGCCCCCAGGGTCTTGCATCCAGCTCACTTGCTGGCACATTACTCCCCATGATGGGAAAAGAGATCAGGTTCTGTGGCTCATCTTCTTTCTTTTAATCTGCAGAGCATTTTAGTGCTTTGCTGTTGCTCTGTCAGACAGCTATGAATCAACCCCTTATAACTATTATAACATCAGAAGAGGAGTGGCCAGCAGGGACAGGGAGGTGATTGTTCCCCTCCACTCTGCTTTTGTGAGGCCCCATCTGGAGTACTGTGTCCAGGTCTGGAGCCACCAGTACAAGAAAGACAGCTGTTGGAGAGGGTCCAGAGAAGAGCCACAAAGATGATCAGGGGATTGGAGCACCTCCCCTACAAAGACAGGCTGAGGGAGCTGGGCTTGTTCAGCCTGGAGAAAAGAAGGCTCTGGGGTGACCTCATTGCAGCCTTTCAGTACCTAAAGGGAGCCTACAAACAGGAGGGGAATCAACTCTTTGAAAGGGTAGATAACTGCAGGACAAGGGGAAATGGTTTTAAGTTGAGGGAGGGAAGATTTAGGTTGGATGTCAGAGGGAAATTCTTTACAGAGAAAGTGATGAGGTGCTGGAACAGGCTGCCCAGAGAGGTTGTGGATGCCCCATCCCTGGAGGTGTTCAAGGCCAGATTGGATGGGGCCCTGGGCAGCCTGGTCCAGTGTTAAATGTGGAGGTTGGTGGCCCTGCATGTGGCAGGGGGGTTGGAGATTCATGGTCCTTGAGGTCCCTTCCAACCTGTCCATTCTGTGATTCTGTGGTATTTTAAGCAATCCAAAATGAAACTTTGCAATATAGGATGGTTTTTAGTTTTTAACATAAATATTTTTGTTTGTATTAGATGGAAAAATCTATGATGCATGTGTCCTGTACACAAAAGGCTGTGGAGGCAGCGACTTCTATCGATTGGAAACCTTTGTTCTTAGAATACTCCCCAACGTTTTAGAACAACAATGTGGATATAATCTCTTTATATTAGGAAGGGATGACCTACCAGGAGAAGGTATGGTTTAATTAGCAGAGTTGATACATTGCTTTTTTACATATTGTTCTAGGGTTAGAAGATTATATTTACTACAGAGAAAATGTTTATTATTATAAACTAAATTTAAACTGTAGGTTTTTTTTTGTTTGTTTGTTTTTAATGGAAAATTAGACCTCTTATCTGATGGCCAATTTATTTCTAGTTTTCTTGTTATTCTTGAATCAAATTTCTGTTCTGATGTTATAATGATAGGGTCTGCTCTTTCTTTCTAAGGTAAACAAATCAGTACTCTGTAGAACTATTATTATTATTAATAATAATAATAATAATAATACTGTTGAGGTCTTTTGAATAATAACTCTCTCCGGGAAGTGCAGGAAACATTTTTGGTCAGTAATTTTGTGCAATGGATTATGGCAGTTGGAGATCTTAGACCTACCAGTTCTTTGAGCTAGTCACTCTTTTATACATATGCAATTTAAAGATGGTGCAATACTTTGTGTTAATGATAAACTTTCTATACAAACTTTGATTGTTGCTTCATTACTTCCAGCTATGGTCAGTATTGCTGATGAAACTTTCAAGCAAAGCAGAAGACTGATGATCATTTTGGGATCTGAAACATTTAGTTGCACCCAGTTGGAAGATGCCCCTGAACAACAATTAGCTTTGTATAGTGCTCTTATCCGTGATGACACTCAGGTGATTCTTATAGAAATGGATGGAATGCAGGACTACGCAAGCATGCCAGAATCAATCAGATATATTAAGCAAAAGCATGGGGCTGTCCAATGGAAAGGAGACTTCTCGGAGAAATCTTGTTCAGCAAATACAAGATTCTGGAAAAGTGTGCGCTATCAAATGCCAGCCAAGAAAAAAGAGTCTTTTTCTGAAGTTTATTTATCACCTCAAACTTTGGACAATTCTGCAGCAAAGCGAAATTAAGATTTATTTACTAAAATAGTACTGAGAAGGTAATTTGGAAATATGTTTTCTACACAAATTCTTTGTATTATGAACAGAGGGGTTTTTTTGGTCAAGGAGTAAAAACTGCTCATCCCTTCCCAAAATTATACCTTACAAGGAAAACTGTGCAACTGTGTTTGTTTCAGCTACAGATATTGACACAATTTGTTCAGGCTTATGCCTGAATTAAGCATTGTGGATGTTGATAGACTGTTCAGGAGTGGTGATCCACATTAGTTTAATGTCCACTGAAGAACTGACTTCAACTGTGCAGTCTGTTTGTTTTCTAATTGAAACTGCTGTAGATGTTTACGTAGACTGCATTTTCCTACCGATTCTGTTCCTCTTGTTTTTGCCCCACCAGAATTATCTGACCTCCTCATTACCATAAAAATCTGTACTGTGCAAGTTTTGGAGTCCACTCTTGAGTAACAAGCCTTATCCTTGTTTCTTGGAGGGGATAAGGAAATACTGGGTAGATTTGAAACGTCTCACAGTACTGCATGCATTTCAGTTGAACCATTGATTACCAAATATGCTAAACAAATGGAGTGGAATTCATGACTTCTCACACATTTATCAAATAATTCTGTAATTCCCGGTTCATGGAGCATTTCTAAACTTTGTTCCTTGAAATGGTCAGGAAACTGAAAATATTTATGACTTCTTTCAAACTGGAAGCTTTCTAGACTTTGTTGCTACTCAGGAAAACATGTTCTCATTATGTTTCTCACCTGTATTAAGTGCAAACCCAGAAATTTCACTCAGTCTGTCAAAGGACTGTAGTTGGGCAGGGCATTCTTGGGAGTGGAAAGTGGCCAGTTCTGAAACCTGATCAGGAGTTGATGGCAAGAGATGATAATATCTTGTGTACTTGTGAAAGAAAAAAAAAGTAGAGGTGTGTGGCTATCTCTGTTTGCTTGGAAGTACTTCCGTATTTTTGGACACCAACCCATGTTCTGTGTGCATTGCTGAGTAAAAGGGGTGAGTCAGGATGGTCTGAGATTGCAGCTGTTTTCACTCACCATCTTTGAAGAGTGTCATCTGAATGCAGACATGAATTCTGCTTGCTTTATAAGTGTTCTTATCTAAAATTGAGCAGGTTCTTAAATTATCTTTATTACCAACATGGCATCTATCACAGAATCCTTTCAGCTGATTCTCAGAAGTGTGCATGCTTTGGAATATGCACATGGTTAGGCTTTATTTATAAAGATGAGAGAAAGAATGGCCCAGGAGTGTAACATGTATTAAAGGAAATATTTGCAGTAGTACTTCGTACTAGCTATTTCTTTGTGAAAGATTAATGGTGCTCCTTATGTGCAGTATCCTGCTCTCCTGACCACAAGTTTCACAGCTGTTTTCTAAACCTCTAGAAGCTTTTTCTAAGATGTTGCTATGGAAACTGAGTTCAGAATAGGTCCATCAGGTGAGATGCTGTTACTCTAGTAGATTTTGAGTTGGTCTTTTTTAAAAATGCATAGTCTTTAGATTGGAATCTTTAAAATAAATTTAGGAGCCTGAGAATTTAGATAATCATTAATGTCAATTTTTATGTTGTGTTTAGGCTTAGATTTGTTCAGAAAGGCATTGAAAACTACAATTTGCTTCCAAGATTTCAGATTTCTTTTGACTTTTTGACTTTTGTTTAGAAACAGAATCATCTTATTTCTGTAGGATGAAGTAAGGGAGATAATAGAAAAATGATGTTGAAAAAAAGCTAATTTTTTTTTTCAACTATCTATTTTCATGTGCTTTGAAATAAAATTGAAAAAAAAACCCAGTGTAGCATTTGCAGTACTACTGATAAGTACACTGATTTGCATGAAGGTGTGCTGGTATTTTCTGTGTTTTCTGCTCTTTTAAATAACCACATTTTGTGAGCGTTTTAGGTTTGTACGTGTGTGAAAGAGAGTGTGGGAGAATATTTTTGGTTATTATGCTTAACTGTTAACTACTTGAGTGCAGCATGACACAATGGCTTACCCTTTTATCACAGGAGTTAATTATGAAGTATGAACTTTTTTTTTGCAAGTCACAAAGGAAAATAGACATTTTATCTTTTTTTTTTTTGTAGTACAACAAAAGAACTCCTGTAGAGAGAGATGTACTGATTGTTCTTGATTAAAAACACACAACAAAAAAAGATTAGTTGGCAAAAGTTTGATTCTGGAAACTTGATAGCTTCAAAAGATAAAAAACGAATATGATATAATCTGTGAGGTATTTGTTCACTACCATGTGGTTAATATACTTCAGTATGTTGTCTGTGCTGACAGAGTAAATAATCTGAATGGTGTATGGTAGAAGATACATTGAACGTATTCTCTTCATCAATTTTTATTTCAAGCCATAACTATACAATATTTCTTTTGCTGGTTTGTGCTTTCTTTTCTTGCTTTCTGGGATACTTTCATCCTTTTGTGATTTTCCTGCCTTTCTTGCCTTTGTAAGCTAGCACAGTGAATATGGCATGCTTTACATTTTAATGTATGTATGCATCTTTATGTGAAATGTTAGATCATGGCCTGAGCCAGCCTGATTAAGCACCTGGTGAAGGGGCATAGGTGGAGCACAGGTGGAAGCAATTCATCTGCATGACCAGAAGGGGAGGACTCTGGCTCTACTCCTCCCTGACCTCTGGCAGCCACGAGGGAAGTATCTCTACTTGGAAATCACCTCCTTTGAAGTGCTCAGTGAGCCCTGATGCTCAGAAAGGAGTGAGTGATTCCTTTTTTATTACTGGACTGTGACCATAACTTTTCTTAGGTGATCTAAGGTCACTGTGTCATTAGAGGTGGTGTTATAGTTCTGCTTGATGATTACCATGGCTGTGTGGAGTCAGCATTTCATGCAGAAGGAGGGTAGAAATCTCACAAAATCATTTAGGTGAATTTTCTACTCCAGAAAGGTTGGCGTTCAATTGCTGCTCCAGATTGGGTGACTTAGATGTGTAGGTTCTTTTTGTTTGTGTTTGCCCTCAGCCAATCATACGATCTTGCCCTGAATGTTTTTGAACAAAGTGGCTGTAGTTGAAGGGGTTATTTCAAAAAACTGTCTCATTCTATTCTTTTTTGTTGTTGTTGTTGGTTTTTTTCCACCAGGTTTCCCTGATGGGTGTTATTTCTGTTTGCAGTTATTAAAATCCACGTGTTCTCTTTCCCATATCTAGCTAGTGACGTGTCAGTGGAGTGCTTCCTTGGTCTGCATCATTCATGGCAGCGAACCCCAGTGCTGCCTTGGCTCTCTTCCATTTTTTAGTGCTATTCTTCGATCTTTTCTACTTGCTCATTTTCTATACTGTGAATATATACACTTATACACGTGAAAGTTTGGAAGGGCCATATTCAAGTCCATAAGAATATATATATATATTTGTCTCTGAGGATGTTGTTCCTGGTACCCATGCTTTTTGTATTTCCCCCTTCCTCCCAGTTTTTTCAGATATGCCTAGCTCTCTTCTGTGCAATGGAAGTGGGTGATTTAGAAAGTAATTTAGCCTGTCTACACTTATTATATTTCTCACTTGTAGGGAAGCATGCCCACACTGTATCAGTGAGGTCTTTACTTTTGGGGTAAGGTGCATCACAATCACATAATTAAAAATGGAGCACAGGAGAAACAGAAGAATAAGTGCATCCTTGCAAGAGTAAAGAACTTAGAGATAGGCAAAGGATGTTGGAGACTTCCCCCACTTCTGAAATGGTGAGTAAGCCAGGATGCTTGGGGGTTACATCTGATTCTACTTGATATCTGGCTCTAATTTCAGTATTTTTAGAGAAAATGAGACTATTTCCCTAGAGACTGAAGAGAATAGAACACATGCTGACTACTGCAAGAAGGACAAGCATACCATAGAAGTGCATCACCTCATCCTAAATCTGAATGGCTTGATATGCATATATATTTAAATGAGCAAAGGATGTGCTGGTGCTGTCTGATGTCACTTTTTAAAACAACTCATAGTGTTGATGTGTTTGGCATTTTTTGAGTGTCATATAGCTGGTTGGGCACCTCTAAGAGATGAACTAACTTATTTTTTATAATAAAGTCACATCCAAAACGCCAACAACAAATGATGGGAAAGGATCAGGGGATGGCAGAATGAGGGCTGGTGGCAGTAACACCCTGCCCTGTCAAACAACTGTAGAAATCAGTGGGAAAGTTCACTCCTCCCCAGATACCAGGGAAGTGAGCAGCAGCCTTGTGCTGTGAAATGTTCCCACTCAGTGATGCTGGGGAGGGAGGCAGGAGTTCAGCTCTTGCAATTTACAAAAGCCATTTTACATCAGATGATAACAAAATGCTGTTAACTATAATGGCATGCCACCATGTTGGATATAATATAAACAAAGAGTAAAATATATATATGTATATATGTGTATATATATATATATATATATTCTGACTGCTGCTCTGAATTACACTAATTACTATTTTTAGTGTTTTTCTCATCCTTTGTAGGAACTAGCAGGGAACATAATAGAAAATGACATTTTTGACCTTTGTGTCTGTACATCTGTTAATTCTGTACCTCCAAATTATTAGAGAAGAACTATCCTCTGTAGAGTTGTGTTTTTTTTTATCAGTACCCAGCATAGACAAATTGAGACTTACTGCTTAATGTTGAGCAGTGCTCCCCATTGATTATTCAAGGCTAAGGCCACAAAATGTATGGCATTTTATTTCAGAGAGGCATTTCAACAAATCAACCACACATGATGGCCGGAGGACCATTACCAACCATGTGCTTCCTAGGCAATCCACAAAGCACTTGATATGTTGAATTTGTGCCTAATTAACTGCCTAGACTACTGAGTTGATCCCAAATGGATCCAATGAACGCAGATAAAAGGAAGGAGCTCTTGATGTCTGGGCTGTTGAAGAGTTTGTAAAAGCCCTGTTCTGCAGATAGGTGGTAGGCAAAATTCAGCAATCCTGAAGTTCTCTAAGAGGGATTGTTTCAGGATTGACTCCCAGTTTGTAAACTGAAGACAGTTTGCAAAATGAAAGTGATTAGGAATTTCAAATGCTAGCTAGAAAATTTTGCAAAAGTTTTGCAGACTCTTGTACTTCAGTTAATGCAGTCCAATCAAAAGATACTGCCTTGTCTCAGGCAAAATGTAGACTGAGTTCCAGAACTAAATGTGAAGATGAACCTTAGGAGAAAGTGATTAAATGAAATAACACAGGTGTGTGGGACAGAACAATCAGTAATGCTATTTTCTATTTGAGGAGCTCTCACTAATGGATGTTTGTAGCAAGCACTCAGATGGCAATTCTTAACCTCTTATGGCAAAGGTCCTTCAGACATCCTAATGTATACACTGGTGAGGGTGAGTGAGGGGTGGAAGAGCTCCAGACAGGCCTTGTGTGGCTCTAAATGTACAGTGCTGCCAAAGCTGAAAATTTCTGCTCCAGCTGTGGATTCATCTCTGGATTCAGCTGTGTGGTTCATCTCAAACTTAGTTGCATGCAGCTGCTTCTCAACCCCCCAGAAGAACAAAGAAACCAAAATCCAAACTTATTTGTTCCCTTGCACTGTGAATTACAGCTGATCCTAGCTGGAAGTGAGCTAGGACCCTTCAGAAGGGACTACATACTTTTCTCACAAGGGTGTGAATAATGCAGGATAACGGCTGTTTCCACTTACTGAGAAGTGGTGTGCTGTGTTAAGTGGTCTTTCACACAAAATAAAATGAAAATGCTTGTCAATAGTGTAATGGGACAGAGGGTTTTAAATGAAAATGAATATTTTACAAAAAAACCATGCCTCAAAAACTAGCCTTTTTTGAAAATAAGCATAAGGCTTCCTCTTTGGCAGCTAAATAACATCTTAACTGAGCAAGAAGCTTATTGAAAGCAACCACACCCTTGTAATGTTTTAAAAGTTTTTATCCAATTTGACCTGGACCTTGCAGCCTTATAAAATCTTTGTGGCCTGGCCACTATTGAGGGAGAAGAAGAGAAGCAGAGAAGAATAATAAAGCTAGTTGCGTCTTGTTTAATTACTGATTAGGATCACATGTACCCTTTGAGCTGCCTACAGTAAATGTGAAGCAGCAAAGTGCAGTTTTATCTGTGTATGCACCTCTCTCTAACCACAGCTGTACTTAAAATGGGCATGTTTCACTGATCTTCTGATTTACCAAGCAAGGCCACCTCCTGCCTCACAGCGTTCCTCTCATAAGACCCAGTTTTGTGGAAATTCCCTTTACTTAGATGCAGAGCAGATTCTTGCTTCCCCTAAATGGTGTGGGTTTGCTATCGACAAAGCCTATTCAAGCAGTGAGAATAGAGTACTTGTGAGCAGGAAGAGAAGGGGAATAGGAATTTTACAGACTACACAGGTTTGGCTGCGGAAACAGTGACCTACACTGAAAATCTTCAACTTGGAACAGTGTGGGATGTATCCATTGACATATGATCCCAAATGGCTTGAAGATGGGGAGGAAAAAAAAAAAAAAAGACTTTTGATGTAATGAAGTTTGGTCACAGATGGTGCAAGCCTATGTGCTCCTTGGGACAAGGCCTTGTAGCAGCTGGAGGGAACTTACTGCAATAGCTCCAGCTGATGTTCTTCAGGACAAGGACAGGTTCCCTTTGCTGGGAAGAAAAGACAGAAAACAGGTGCTGGAGAAGAGCATGAGTAATGCTCTGCAGAGTCAGGCCAACAGTTGACTAAGCATCTCACAGTAGAAAGAGGAACTGCTGAAAATCTGTTACTTCTACAGCAACCCTTCATCAGGCCTCTGGGCTGGCTCTATTACTGTTGGAAGTGGAAGAAAGAAAAGAGAAGGAAAAGGAAACAAGGAAAGGAAAGAAGATTTGATAATTTGATTTTCTGTCTCATCAACAACATCAGCACAAAGCGTGCATATTTGTAGCTGATGGACTATGGTTAATTCAGATTTCAAGGTTTTTATCTCCAGCTCCATTGAAGTCCTGGAAACAAAACAATTGTCTGGTGTGTAAACCCTGAAATTTGGTTAATATTTTGCTTCTCCTTTCTGGCAACAACAACAACAAAAAACCTCTATGTAATACTCACCAGGATTTGTGCAGCTTGTTTGGCAAGCATTACTACATTATTTCATGGCTTTTTCCACTGCCTGTAACATTAGGCAGTATTGAAGTTGTGCACGTATAGTGAGATGCTTTATTCATGTTTATTTAGGAAGGATTTAGACTTGAGCATCTTGCTGACCTTCTTAAGAGAGAAAAAGAGGTTTTCTGTTTCCTACAAAGTCTCTTGCCATTAGTAGGAAAGAAATTCCCAAAACCTAAAAGAAAGAAGTATCAGAACCCAGAACTGTTCTTTGAGCCTTGAAAGCTGCATGGAGCAGAGCTTATTTCCATTCAGATATAATAATGCTGAGTTGGTCTGTTATTGCACAATGAACCTGGAGTACTGTATCGTGTTCTGGGCTCCCTGGTACAAAAGAAGACAGGGATCTCCTGGAGAGACTCCAGTAGGGGGCCACAGTGATGATAAAGGGCTTGGAGCATTTCCCCTATGAGGAAGGTCTGAGTAACCTGGGTCTGTTCGGCCTTGAGAAAAGAGAGGTGATCTTATTAATGTTTATAAATATCTTAAGTGTGAGAATCAAAGGGACATGGCCAGCCTCTTTTCAGCAGTCTGTATGCACAGGACAAGTGAAAACGACCATAAACTTGAGTATAGGAAGTTCTGCATCAATATGCAAAGGAACTTCTTTGCAGTGAGAGTAATGGAGCACTGGAACAGGTTGCCCAGGGAGATTATGGATTCTCCTCTGGAGATATTCAAGATCCACCTTGACACCTACCTGTGCAGCCTGCTGTAAGGAGACTGCTTTGCAGGGGGCTGGACTCAATGATCTCTGGAGGTCCCTCCCAGCCCCTACAATTTTGTGATTCTGTATCTACATCCTCATCCTGGAGGGAGGTGGAGCCATTTTTCCACTGTTAAAGTGACTTTAGAACTTGAGATTACTTGAACTATTAAAACAGTCATATTTACTCTTGAAGGAAACTGTACTCTGTAGGTTCTTGATTAACACTCGTGCATCGTACTCCAACAAAGGCAGGCTGAAGGAGCTAGGCTTGTTCAGTCTGGAGAAGAGAAAGTGACGGGACACCTCATGGTGGCCTTCCAATACATAAAAGAAGTTTATAATTAGGAGAGAGACTGACTTTTTACACGGTGTGGTAGTGAAGGGACAAGGGGAAATTCTTCACTGAGAGGGCAGTGAGGTGCTGGCACAGCTGCCCAGAGAAGCTGTGGTGCCCATACCTGGAGGCATTCAAGGACAGGTTGGATGGGGCCCTCGGCAGCCTGAGCTGGTGGGGGGCAGTTGTGGGGACTGGGTAGGCTTTGAGGTCCCTTCCAACCCAAGCCATTCTATGATTCTACGAATATGAAGTCACCAGGGAAAATGTCTGCAGGCATCTTGTTAGCATAATCTTCCAATGTAATTTAGTATCAGGAGGGATATGATGCTTTTTCCCTGTTCTAGCATGGTCTAACAGGTGTTTATGTCATGGCCTTAATTGTTTGCACTGTCCTGCTCCCTCTGTCTGCTCACACTTACTCCAAGGCTGCCCTTTCTGTTGTACCAGCACTGTGGAGAAGCTGTCTCAAGAATCAAACCTGTTGAAAAAAAAAGGTATTCTTTTTCTGTTTCTTTTGGCCAGTTTTACTTAGGCAGATCTGTTTTCTGAAAACGATCTACCTATCCATTACTACCTGTCCATTTGTCTATTTATCCTGTTCATTTATTTACTTATGGTACTGAAATGCAAGGGAAGAGAGAGTGGTTGGTTAGGATGGCATGAGAAGCTTTGGTCCTGATGTGTGGGTTTGTCAGGGTTTAACAGATGGGTGATGATCTGTGCTCCTGTGATTGAGCTGTCTGTAGCACTCAAGTTCTGCACAGTAAAACACTGTGCCAGGAAGATATAATCTGAGATGTCTCTTATCTGGCCACATGCTTGGGTTTGGGGTATTTTTCCAAGTATTGCTTCTGATAGACTTTTACTTGCCTGAGTCAACAGGTTGAATGAAAAAGGTCATATTCCACAGCGTTGTTCTAAGACGCCAGCTTTTGGTGAGAGGTATTTACTGCAAACACCACTGACTTGTCTTACTACCCACAAGCCTTCAGTACAAATGCAGCGTTGGTCAACCAGTCCATTAAAGAGAAATAAAAGATGGATTTCATGAAAAAGATAACACCCCTTGCCAGAGGATGCTGCAGCAGTAGGAGGTTTATATGAGTTCCTTGGAAGGCCGGAGGAGAAAACAAATAGAAGGTAAATAAAGAGAAGAAAATTAATTGGCTCAGGAAATCTCTGGTG